CAGGCAGGGGCGGATGAGAGTGCCGCGGGGCCCAGGGCAGCGCCGCGGGGCCCCAGGCAGCAAAATTTTGCGGGGCCCCCCCTTTGACACAGCGCATGCGCCGTGGTGCCAAGACGCATGTGCAGGGCCTTGGGAAGCGCAGGGCCCGGGGAAGTCGCCTCGCTCGCCCTGCCCTAAATCCGCCGCTGATCCCAGGTCAAATTTGTACTTCAGAGCTCATACCAAAGACAATGCTTGTAGCCAATCCTGTAATTATGTAAAAATTTATCAACCAGGAAAAAAGAAATAAGTGAGTTATTGCAAGGTTAAAGCAAGCAAATGAATTATACTTGATGGTTTTTCAAGGTGACAGTTATTGTAATCCATTAGTCCTGAATGCCTTTTAGATCTAATCCAGGCGGACACTGGGGGTCTCACCTGTCAAAGTCAAAACAGAAAAAAAAAATATTGTCAGCTATTTTTATTTCTTTTTTTCACAATTCAAAATGATGGGATAAATCCTTTCGACCCTTTTGCATGTAGACTCTTCATGGGTGTGAAGGGACAATTAATAAAGTTTTTGTATTGGCATGTCCCACAATGGCCCATTTAGTTAATAGTCTTCTGATGAGCAGGAGATAATCCCTCAGGATAGATTTACAGTTGCACAGCAAACTTTTCTTACAGTTATAAAGCAAGACTTAAATATTAATCTATAATGTGTGATTGCATGTAGCAATTTACAAGCGCTTCATAAAGTCTAAACACTAAACACATTGTTATAAGTTCAATTCTGGTCTTCACCACACTAAGATACCGGCAAAACAGACTGGTTTCCTGCAACGCTCAGACTTTAAGCCTTCGCAAGGAGTAGCAACTGGTTTGCCCGCATCACAGCCACAGCTTTAGAATAAAGTAATCAGACTACTCAAATGTAAATGATGGCCAGTTTAAAAGACATATATTTTATTATCAACATTTTATTTATGAAAAATAATCCTCTGGCTCTCAATTGGACTAATATTATTTTGTACTTTCATTTCCAGACAGTGTCAAAATAAGTAATATTAAACAACCCTGAGCTAGTACATTACTAAAGTGGGACTTTTCTTTAATTTCAGACCCATAAATGAATCCTAATATTCTAGATCTTCCTGAGCCAAGAAAAAACCTTTGGGATATAGTTGGCTCAGAAGTTAAATCTCACAGAATGAAATAACTAAATGTCATGCATTTAAGTAGCACAGTATCTGATAGCAAAATAAATACTGATATCACACACACACAAAAAGCAGACATAGGGGCTACGTCTACACTGGCCCCTTTTTCGGAAGGATTTTCCTATTCCCACTTTCAAAATTAGCATGCCCCTTCCGAAAAAGGGGCCAGTGTAGACGTAGCCAGGCAATTTAGTTCTTTCTGGAGAATAAATGCAGTCTTAAAATTGAGTTGGGAAATTGGTAATGCGATTATTACCATAATTAAATGCATTTACGCTTCTATGGGCGTGAACCTTAATTTTGTATTTCCTGTATTTTCACAAGTTTTGAGGTTCGTTTAATCTCATTAACAGTAATGGCACATGATACCATGGGGCAATCTTAATTCTGCATTAGCAAAGGGTTTTTTTGCCATCTTTTTTACTATCTTTACATGTTTGAAACTTTTGCTGACAATCACCCCATATGAATGCTACTCTCCATATAACCAACAGGAGGTAACTGAACAGCAGTAGCAACCACAAAATAATCTAGGACCTTCAGATAGAGACAAAAGAAGAAATGGTACCAAGAAGCAAAAGTACAAAGCAGGACAGGGAAGAACATGATACTAACAGAAAACTCATAAACAAGTACTTGAATAATATAGTTTAGAGCAGGGGTGTCCAAACTTTTTTCAAAGAGGGCCAGATTTGATGAAGTGAACATGCGTGAGGGCCGACCATTTTGCCTGACATTCTTTGAACCATTAAAATTAAATGCAAATTAACTATTTTATGCAAAGTTTATTGCAAACGGCATACTTTTCATTTCGTCACATGGATGACAAATCTAAACAGGTGTTAAATCACTCTGCCTTTCATATCTGAAGGCCAGATGAAAAAAAAAATCCAGGAAGCTGAAATATATGTCAGGAACATTGTAAAGTACATTACATATTATTGGTAATAAAGGTTGTCTGTCAACTTTTAAGTTCAAAAAATATGAACAGGAACATAACACCAAGTATACATGTTGTGTCCAAATATATTTATAACTGATTTAGACCAACTGACTTTAACTGAGATTTTACAATGTATTCATCTCAATACATATGGATTCGTTGGGGGCCATAAAAGATAGATATTGCCAAATTACCCGGGGGGCCGTATTAAACCGGAACACGGGCCACAATTGGCCCGCGGGCCGGACTTTGGACATGCCTGGTTTAGAGTATGCTTATAAAATTTAGTGATGACCCTAAGCTCTGGGAGGGGCTGCTTGCACAGCTGGAAGACAGGATTAGAATTCAAAAGGACCTTTACATATTAGAGTATTAGTCTGAATTAAATAAAATTAAATTTAACAAAGATGAGTGCAAATTACTTTACTTTGGAAGAAAAAAAAAATCAAATATACAACTTCAAAATGGGGAATAACTGACTAGCTGGTAATCCTGAAAAGGAGCTGGGGGTTACAGTGGATCACAAATTGAATGTAAGTCAACAATGTGATGAAGTTGCAAAAGAGGCTAATTTAATTTTGGGGTGTATTAAAGGAAGTGTAAATAAAACATGGAAGATAATTCTCCCACTTTGCTTGGCAGGCGTAAGGACTCAGCTGAAGTACTGAGTCCAGTTCTAAGCCCTACACTTTCTGAAAAATATGGACAAACTAGGAAAATCCAGAAGAGAGCACAAAAATACCACCAGATTTAAGAAATTTGATAAATGAAGAAAGGTGAAACAAAACTGAGCATGTCAAGTCTTGAAAGAAGTAGACTGAAGGGGGTCTTCGTATGTGCTTAGGGTGGTTGGGTCTGAGTTCAGCTATAGTCTCTGCACTGAAAATAGGACACAGACTAATGAAGTAAACTGTAGCAGAAAGTATGATTAGGTACCCATTTTCTAGCTATAAGGGTAGTTAATCTCTGGCACAGGCTCACAAGGGAAACTGTGGAATTCCTGATAATCTAGGTTTCTAAAAACTGGTTGGCTAAACATAACGGCTAGGGTGTACAGTAATTCCTCATTTAACACGGTAGATACGTTTCAGAAAATGATCGTGCTAAGTGAAAACGTGTTATGTGGGGTCAATTTTCCCATTGAAAATAATGGAATACATGGAGGTTGCATTTCAAGCGCATGTGCGATCACAGCTTCAGCCTGCACTTGTTAGCAGCTGGGACCAGGACATAAGGTTGGGGGAGAAAGAGGACTAGGTTATAGCAGGGAGGGGAGGTGTTTGGCTCTGGAGAAGGGAAGGAAAGAACAGGGGAGGGGGCTTGCAGCTGAGTTTCCCCAGCTGGCCAGTTACTGGCAGCTGCACGGGACTTCCCCTGCCTCCTTGCAAAGCGGCAGAGGTTTGCTGCTCACCGCTCTATTCCCCAGCGACCCCTTCTGGCCGGATGCCTCACTCCCTCTCCTCTGCCCCTCGCAGCGGCCGGTTGCCGGCAGCTGCGCGGGAATTCCCCTGCCTCCTTACAAAGCAATTGAAGTTCACTACTCACTGTGCCGTTCCCCGGCAACCCCTGCTTGCCGGACACGAGGCATCTGGCCAGAGGGGGTCGCCGGGGAACGATGCGGTGAGTGGCGAACCTCTGTTTTGCAGGGAGGCAGGGGAAGCCCTGCGCAGGAAACCCAGCCACCAGCTATAAACTGGGGACGGAAGAGAGGGAGTGAAGCATCCCCAGAAGGGATCACCAGGGAATAGCACGGCGAGCGGCGAACCTCTGCCACTTTGCAGGGAGGCAAGGGAAGCCCTCCGCAGCTGCTGGCAAGCAGCTGGCAGGTAGGGGAAATCGTGTTATTGCGGGGACGGGTCTTGTTGTTCAAAAAATGTTCCCTAAAAAAAAAAAAATTGGGCTATTGCAAAAACGTGTTAAGCAGGCATGTGTTAAATGAGAAATTATTGTACATGTTCAGC